TGAAGAAATGAGAACTTTGTGATTTCTCAGTGATCAGCAAGTTTGTTTTGGGAGCATTGTGCTTCACTGAATCATGCTCTAGAAGCCCCAAAGTTTCACAACGGTGGAATGGATAAACGTGAAGTTGAGAATGGAGATCCGTTGATTAGGAATGGCAAAGAAACTGAGCAAGAGACCGCTGGGCCTCCTTTTGCTGACCAGCTGGACCAGCTCTGCTTTGTTCTTTATACTGGAAAATAGAGCTGTATATTATTGGTGGGCAAGTCTCTTCTACTCAAAGAGAACTTCCGAATAGCTCTGAGGTAGGCTGTGAATGTGCTGTGTGGAGTTCCTTTGTTGTTTCTGCTCATTTTGCCACGATTATGCTGGTGGTCAAGTCCTTGGCTGGTAGTACAAGCATTCTGTCACACAGCCTTTGTGCACAAGCTTGGGTTTGGTTTGCATGTGTTCAACACGGTGCCTGTGGCAAGAATGAAGCCCTATGCAGAGCTGTCTGGATGTACTGGGAGATACGGAGTTCCAGCGTATGCATTCGGAAGAAAGGTTGGGCTTGTTTCCAGGAGTGGAGGACGACGATGGCAAATAATTTCCTTTCCTACTCCAGGACATTTGCACTTGCTGTCCTCAGAGTGCTCTCCGCTGTGATCTCTATATAAACAGTTTCTTTTCTCATTTAACTCTTATGAAAAATCCTGCCTTGAACAACTTATTAAAGAAATCCCACCTCTCCTCAGGAACTTACCCTCTAACCCATTACCACATTTTCATTTACAGCACTAATGCCCAATTAGGAGCCAAGCAAGGATGACACGAAGACCATGCCAAACTTGATGGAGAAAAAGCCCAGGAGATCTCCCCAACCTACTCAAAGAATTGTAGGCAACCAAGGAAAGCTGGGCACGTGACAGGTAGCCTTGTGTAGGAATGAGCAAAACAATTGGTTGTCCAATACCAAACACCAAACAGCTAGCATTATTCAGGCTAAACAAGTTATATTTAGGAGCAACATACAAGCAACATACAAGTTTTACATATACTTATATGCATGCGACAACAATAAAAAGAGGACTTGAATTTGAAGGGCGAGTACAGAAAGATATATAAGAGAGTTTGGAGGGAAGAAAATGTGATTAAATTATAAACTCAAAAACAAACAAACAAATAAATAAATAAATAAATACAAAGAGGAAGGAAAAGGCCATTTCCAGATGGTCCGAGGATGGTGGAAGAGTGGGCCTCCTCTGTCCCGCCTGGATAGTAGCCAATGCTCGTCATGTTTCATTGGCCACAGATTGGCTCTGCATGAAGCCTGTACCAACTTCCGTGTCAATTCTGTGCTGCTTTTTGGCAAGCACACTCTTCAAAGGCTCCTGTCTGTTTTTAGATCGTGTTCTTCTTAATTTTTCCTATCTGGAACTCTTCCCCCTTGAGACCTGATACCTTATGTTTGCAAGCTAGTTTGAATCTCTTAGCTGACAGACATTACTTAATACATCAGAAATGGAGCCATGTAAACCATAACCATAAGAGCAATCATAGTAGTTCTGATTTATTCCAATCTCATTAACACTACATAGCTTATATAGACCTATTATCTGAAATAGAAGAGAGAAGGATAAGCAATTTCCTTTGGAAACTCATACACTGCATTTTTACTCTTCCTGGTGTGTATCTCTGTAGCTATTCTTTTCCCTTTAAACTAAAAGTATAGTTTTATTTAAAACTAAATATTATAGCACAAAATTTATGTGGATTTGAAACCAAAAAGCATTAGAGCTTCCAGCCTCCCTCAGGATTCCCCTACAGGAAGTTATATGAAACCGCTGCTGATCCACAGAACTTTGAAAATTAAGATGATAAAACTTCTCTTTGCCAAAGACATGTGTTGGGTATATACTATCTGTTTCGGGCACTTTTCTATTGCTGGGAATAAATATTATGACCGAAAGTAACTTAGAGAAGAAGGTTTATTTTGGTGCACAGTTGGAAAGGGAGGCCCCTAACAGTGGGGAAGGCACAGTAGGGCAGCAGGAACAGGGGGCCAGCTGACTGCACTTCCTTCCACACACTGGAAGAAGAGGGAAAGAGGGAGATAAAAGATGAGGGAGAGGGAGAAGGAGAGATAAACAGAGAGGTGGACAGGGAGAGGAGGAGAGGGGAAGGGAAGAGTAATGGGGAGGGGAAGGGAGAGAACATAAACTGGAAATGGGAAGAAGCTAACCACCCTCAAAACAGCCCCCAGTCAGCAAGGCTTTGATGCTTAAGAGTTCCATTACCTCCTCAGTCAGGGCCACCAATAGGGAATTAATAGGGACATTTCTCATTTAAACCACCATACTATGTGTGAGCCCAGGAAGTGTGAATGATGAGAGGGGGAAGCTCCAGGCTCAGACCATTCTCACTCACAGAAGGGCATATTCAGCAGAGCAACAATTACAGCTTGAGACAGAAGAGGACTGAGCAGAAATCTGCAGCCAGTCTCTGTAGTGTTTTATGATGTCAGTCCAAGGGCAGCAGATATGGAGCAGAGGCCCTACCCACTAGGCTTTTAGGAGCCTTGTCATAGCCTGGGATTCTTTAGGCTTGAAACTTCCTGGGTTGCAATTCCGGTCCCCATTGTGGTAGCTCTTGGTGTTGGTCCACTGAGCGAGCAGAACTGTTTGATATTTAAAAGCCAGGGAGAAGCTAGGTTTGTGTGTGTGTCATCCCAGCATCCATCCCCGACCCCAGATACTCATGTGTTCAAGGGCTTCCGTGCCCTCCGAGGATTTCACAACCTTGCCTTTGTATTCTGAGACTCACAAAGATCCATACAATCCATGCACATGTGCAAGCTTGTCAATGGATCGCCCTTTCTTCTCCCACACACGTGCCTGTAATTTAGTTCCCACCAAATCCCAGATTTCACCCGACTAGTGTTCCATCCCTCAGTTTACAATGAACTCAGTCACACAGAGAACACATTTTGTAGCACACATTTTGTTGAATATACGTGACATCAAGGGGAAGGGTGTGGCTATTCCCCTTCCTGGAGGACTTCCTGTATCTTAGTTACTAAGTATCTTAGTTACTTAGTATCTTAGTTACTAAGTCCTAAAGATACAGCTGGGGAGCGGATAAACTTCAGGGAGGTTGTGAAACTCTAGAATGTAACTATAACGCCATCTAGATTCTCCAATCCATGGAATTGGACCAATAAGAATTGGCAGATAACTGGGCCACACAGTCACCAGTCAGAATGTTTAAGAGGGGATACATAAAAACAAAGTGGAGGTAGACATTGGGCTTGTAGCTCTTCTCTTTACTATAGTTAGAACACTAAGGATGTAACTTTCTCAACTCTTCTCTTCTGTAAAGTGAGACCATAAACACAGTAGACAATAAACAAAGTAACTTAAAAGGTTGGGTGCTCAAATCCAGATCAAGTCCTTTGATTCCAGCAAGATCCTAAGGTATACCAGAAAGACGAATCAGTCAGGGCTGGAGGTAAGTTTGGTTGTATGGACTAATGTATTGCTGCTATCCATCAATGGCAGCACAAGCAATCACAAATGCCTCTCAGGGATCCCTGAGGAGCAATAGAGAGACCCTGCCAGATGTGGGCGTTCACAAAGCTTGGAGCATAGAAACGCTTGGTGTTGCAATCCTTGCTTCTGCTCCAACAAGATAGGTTAAAGGGATTCTGCCTGTGGGCCACGGATGGAAAGCCGACTGACTCGGAGGCCGGTAGACTAAGGCTCTGAACTCTGGGAGAGAAGCAGAAGCTGAGACCTCATCTGGCAAAAGTCAGAGTTTTGAAATGTGCCAGGATACTAAGGTCCCTCCCCTGGCCACCTATGGTAGGAAAGCAGGTGACTGGCCATTAGTGAGTTCACAGTGGCTGGTACTCCAACAACTCATTCAGCCCAGGTCTCAACTCCCTGACCTACTACTGAATTGGAAGCCCCCGGATTTGAGCCACTGCAGGGGCTGGATGTGTGCGGGAGAGCCTCCGCGTGGTGCCACAAGCCCACAGGACCACATTCTGAGCAGTAGGATCTCAGACCAATACTCTCCAATAGCTCAAATTTTCTCTATTGTACCCCCATGAAGAGATCTGTTGACCTTTAGTTGATTACCTGCTGCCAAAGGGATCCCATTACCTTCAGCAGGTCCCATTCAAACCTGTTTATGGTTTGTGTGTGCATTTTCTACGTCCCACTATTAATCTTAAATTTTTATTTTATTTTATCGTTTCGTGTTTTGCCTGCAGAGGGCTGTGCACCACATACATGCAGTGCCCGCGGAGGCCAGAAGAGGGCGTCAGATCTTCCGGGACCGAATGAACAGTTGTGAGTTGCCGCTGGGGATCCAGCCCAGGTTGTCTGGAAGAGCAGCCAGCGCTCTTAACGGGTGAGCCATTGCTCCAGCTTGTCCATTAACGTTTGTTGCTTGACCACTCCTTTGTCAACACTGACAGAAAAAAAAAATAATCTAATGTTCTTCTACCATTTATCTCTTAAAACAAAAGACGGAAATGGTCGGTTTGAGGTAGAGATACATGGAGAAAGGGAGGAACCCATCCTATCGGTGTGAGTAGCCAATGCCCAGCTGTGACAGGGCGCCGGAGTAGGTTGCCAAGAAACTTTTAAAAATAAAAACAAACCAGGGAGTGGTGTTAAGATTTACGGAAGCTTACTAACAGGGAGATAAACTTCCCCCTAGGGGAGGACCACAGGGAGTGTGCAGAGAGGCAACGGGACCACTGCAAGCCGCTGGCCTAGAGGCATCTGTCTTCGCACTGGCTCTTCCACCAAGCTTGACTGTGGCTCGATCTGTCCGCGGCCATGGGGGCAGGTGGCCAGGAAGCTCCCGCAGTCCAGCAGCAGCGGCTGGACTCGTGTTCTCCACCGTGTTTTTATTGTACCGGTTGCCCAGGGAGAGGGCATTGACAGGTTAAAAGGCAGGAGCAGAGCAGTGACACCATTAGCTTAGCCTGCCGCGTTCCTGCCTGACCACATTCCAGGGGCAGCTGATTTAGGGATAGACGAGGCCGGTTCCCTGCTCAAACAACGCTGGTTTGTCCAGTCCTGCACGGGCAAATGAAGAGGTAACTTTTTCTAGACATTCTGAGCTTGAGCCGCTTGGCTCACGTCCAGGGGCACTTTCTCGGACCCGCCAGTGATATAAATAATGACACAGACGCTTGCTAATATTTTAAAGCTTGGGCCTTCAGCTTGGGCTACCTCCCACTTACTCTAACCAGACTAATGCTAGCAGTACATCCGGCCTCCGGGCCAGGCCTACCCCTCTGCTCTGCTCTGGCCCTTCTGTTTACCCCTAATGTCAGAGGGCAAATCTCTCACCGATTGCTTTACCCAGAGTCCCTCTGTCTGTCCAGAAGAGCAGCCTTCCATTTGCTGTCCAGATATTGGCCCAAAGATCATCATTAAAGCTAATCAGATACAATTCCAGATTGCCTTAGGCAGGTGAAAGAAGGAACAAATGTTTACAATGTTACAATAACAATACCAAGATCAGGCTAGTATTTAGCTCTCTGCAGCCTCCGAATTAACAAACGAATACACAGAGACAGCCTTCCCATGGTACAACCCAAGTCTCATTTCCATTGCTCCTATAGGTTTGGCTTGAGCCTTAAGCATCGAAAAGAGGGCCATTTCAGAGACCTGGCAGCTGAAGCTAGTTCCTATTTTTCTCAAAGATCACACGCCATGGAACCATCAACTAGAGAAACTGATGCGATATTGGACCGTTCCTTCTGGATATCCCTTGTTTTAGTCTGAAGCCCAAAGGCTTTGTCAGCAGAGAAAGCTCAGTCTGGCCTCTTTTTCTCAGACAGCTGTGTGCCATTCTCCACTGGCCAGTGTTACCCTGCCCCTGGAGCCCCCATGACCCAGGGGAAGGTCTAAGCAGAGAGCAGGCCTTCCGTGGGAAGATGGTGGTGGGACTGTAAGCACTGAGTGCTAGCATTCAGGGCATGACGCCCACAGCAGCCTTTTCTCTCGCGCAGGTATGAACGCGGCATTTTGCTGAGATATTTTCTGTGAGTCTCCAGTTAACACACTTCCCTGTGCCAGGATCTCTTGCCTAGGATGTAGGTGTACAACAATTGGGTATTGCTGACATGTCTTGCCCACCAGTCTCTTCCCTGATTCCTGCCTGGGAGGCCTTCCAGACAGGAAGGCCTGTCTGCTGTGAACCCTCCCCTCTTGGAAGAAAGGTATATGAAGAGACTCTTGTGCCACATGGGCCCTGAGTTCCTCTATTCAGGGCCCTTACTATGACTGTCCCTTGTGCTAGGGAGCTGAACTCTCTTGAGGGTCTGTGCCACGCTGTTGTCTATCTGTTTGACTAATGTGACTAATAACGTTTCTGATAAACTCCTTACTCCCCACTAATCCATCTCTCAGTGTCCCTCTTGAACACCCCCATGACATTTTCAGAGACAGATGCGTGGGCTGTTCTGCCAGTCATGGGGATGGCTTTACAATGACGCGTTCTGTTGCTTTCACTTGACACTGTTTTTCACCACTAAGAAAACATTTTAAGGAGTCCGTGAATAAACAAAAGAGTGTTTTGTTTTGTTTACTGTGCAAAGTAACTGGCGCGTGGCCAATCATATCCTCCCTCACTTTCGAGAGTGCCATGATCAGATAAACAAAGAGCCGGGGTGCCCGCAGTCGGTCCTGGCTCCATCATTTATTACTACTCTGGAAAGCAGGAGGAGCTGCTTAACCGCCACTCCGTCTCGGCTCCTCTTTAAATGAAGCTAATCACTCCGTCTGCTGCACAGGGTCAGCATAACGTCCATTGTTCCGCTGAAGAGTCTCAGAGCCGTGCCTGCCTCCTCTACAGAAGTAAGTTGCTAATACCTAAAATACACACAAACACAAACAGCCACAAAGCCAGGCTTAGGGGAAAGCTGGAGATGAGGAGAAGAGCTTGTTTGCGGTATTTGAACTTCGAAAAATAGGTAAGTAATGTCTGTCCCAATGACTACCACCAGCTGTGATAAAGAGTACACAGGGGGCTTTAAGTCTTCCTAGGCCTGCATAGAAGAGAGTGTACTCAGAAAGCAAAACAGCGGGGGCTAGGGGACCAGTATGGGTGCCAGGCAAGGCTGAGTGGTGAGGAATGCTGTTGCCTGCTCCCTGGCCATAGCCGACAATGCTAACTCAGCAGGCCTGTGGCAGGATCAGGGTGCCAAGTGGGAAGCCTGGAAACCAGTTCCCCGTTTGGTAACTGCAGATTCTCCAGGGCCCGATACGGAGGAGCACACACCATTCCCTCCACATGCTGCTAAGAATGGTGGTCAGCCACCACATTCCCTGCGTTTTGTGAACTGAGCTCCATCTCCAAAGGGGTCACTGGTTCTGCTTGGGCAATGAATGCATCATCCAATTATGGTTTTGTTTTCTTTCTGGAGTGACACTAAATGACACCATGTCTACAGAATAATGTTCATCCCTAGATACCAACCTTCCTCTTAGAAAATTACTTAGAGACACTAGAGCCAATCTAGCTCATTAATAAGTAAGTTCGTTTTGGTTTCCTAATCCGTAAGCAGCTTACCTCATATGCTATCTTTGGATTTATAGCACACTCTCTCCTTTTCCTCTTTCTACATCTCTTCTTTCTTATTAGCAGCTTGATGGAGGTGCAATTGACACGTGCTTTAAGCTTACAACCTGACAGGTTTTGACATCCACCAACAGCTACACAACCATCAGCACAGTCCAGCTAATGAGCCTGCCATGTCCATCATGCCACGTCCATCATGCCACATGACTTTTCATGCCTCTTTGCACTTTTCATGTCTCTCTGATACCTCAGTGTCCTGAGAAGAATCCTGGCCAGTCATTGGCCATCGTTGACACTAGGATTACTTTGAATTTCTCAGAACTTTGTGTAAGTGGAACCATATAATTTATAGTTTCCTCCCTCCCCTTCTGTTTTCTTTTTTTTTCTTTTCTTTTCTTTTCTTACTGCACTGGCTAGGCTCTCCAGAATGATGCTGAAATTGGGAGACTAGAAACCCTTCTTATTTCTGGCTTTGGGAGAAAACATTTAGTATTTTATTCAAGGCTGGGCATTTTTCATTGCTCCTTTTTAGGAAATTGCTTTTTACTCGTTTCTTGGGAAGTTTCCACACATACACCTTCTCCAGGAATATTACCTAATTTTCCTTTTGATTTTTTTCTCTATTACATAGGTTTAGAAATAACTTTTCAGTTTTGAGGGGGTCTGAAGATACTTCTATGGTCCTCCGATTTCACTACATCATTGTTCAAGAACAGACTTAAAGTTTGAGTGCTTTTTAGCTTTGCTGTCACCTCTTTTTCGGCCTGGGATATGATGGATGTCCTCCTTGCTTTCAGAAGAATGTGTATCCTGCTCTTCTAACAACATCCATCAATCTGGCTGGTTTGTACCACTTTTCAACCTGAACTATTTCTAGACCTCTTGTTTTAGGTAATTACTGAATGGTGTTACCATCCTCACTATAAATGTGGAATTTGTAATTTACCTTGAAGTTTTCCCATGCATTTCTCTGTTTGGGTGGGGGAACTCGTGTTTAAAATGGCACAGTAATTGATGATGATGTCATCGAAATCGAGTGATCCAGTCACTGTTATGAAACACGCTCTTTTATCCACGGGAGTGAGAATGGACAATGGCCAAAGGGGCCATGGAGAAGAAAAAGATTCACAGGGTGAGAAGAAGACAACAGCCAGAGAGACAGCTGTGCTTGGTTTTGAGGCAGGTTTAAAACTCTCCCTCAGAACAGGCAACTTTCCCGGGGAGTGTTTTCATGTCCAGAAAAGGACAATGGTGTGTCACAAGCCTTCTGTTAGGTCGTTATCGTATGAGCCTCTGGGAAATTCAGAATGTTCTGTTTCCACCGAAGGCCACAATTATGACTGAGTCCATTCTTTGGTCACTCATCACATCACAGAGCAGATTCAAAAGAATTAGAGAAGAAGACAAAAATAAGCATAAAGCTTACCATCCCAGGCCAGCAATCATGGCTCAACAGATAAAGGCTCAGCTGCATAAGCCTGATGATCCAGGCTGGTCCCAAATCCCATGTAAAGAGAGGAGAGAGACAGTTCTCACAGTTGTCCTCTGACCTCCAAATGCACAGGATTTAGGAGGCTCAACATGACACTCCCCTGTTTCCCTGATCAGGAGCACAGGATACAGAGCCCCAAGGTGATTTGCTGGTTTGTTTGTAGACCAGGCTGGCCTGGAACTCAGAAATCCTCCTGTCGCTGCCTCCCTCACACTGGGATTAAAGGTATGCATCAGCAGCACCTGGCTTAGAAGATGATTTTTAAGAAAAAGACAATTAGCCTGTGTCCTAAAGATCTCCTGGTCAAAGAAGGCTAACTGTCTTGGGGCAATGAATCTGGTCATGTGGACACTTTCTGCTCATCACATCATAGAACCCCTGAGGCCTAGCTCTAATGCAAACTGAGATTGCTCTTTGACATAGACAGTCCTTACTCTGCTTCCCCAAGCCTGGGAGGCAGAAGGTAATAGGACCTCCTGGGCCTGGTAACAAGCAGAGGCCTGTGGTCTAAGTTTCCGGTTTCACAGGCTGTGGCTTATGTGGGAGGGTTCATCTTCAAAGTCTGACTAGTGTGCCTAGCCATGGTCTGGCAGCGACCCACTTCCTGGTTCTCAGCTACCACAGTGACCACCCACCTGGCAAAAACAATGGGTGTCGGAGATACCAGTGCTCCCCTCTGACTATTAGACTACTGAAAGAATGAACCCCCAAAGTTAGAAGCTCCTTAGGAATGGCCTGCTGGGAGGAGAAATGGCCGAAGCCATGTGGGCACCCAGACGAGGAGCTTTTCTCCTAGAGAAAGTTTGGAAACTTGTCAGCTGACCTCACCTGGGCATCTTGGAGCTGAGAGTGTGGTCAGGGGCCATACTTTGTCTGGACTGCTTAGTTCTGCGCTCTCTTGTCTTCTGTTAAAATCCTACCCCCAGCCAGGAGTTGCGGCACACACCTTTAAGCCTAGCACTCTGGAGCTACAGGCAGGCAGATCTCTGAGTCTGAGGTCAACCTGATCTACAGAGTGAGTTCCAGGACAGCCAGGGCTACACAGAGAAACCCTCTCTGGAATCATCAAACCAAAACCAAAAACCTTACCCTCGTGTCAGGACCTTAAGAAAATGGGGATTGGGTCACTATTTATCCCTCTTCCCAATGTGTCTGCATTGAATAGATGTCCTTTTCATCCTTTTCATTATTAATTTTACTTGTTTTAATTTACTTAACGAGGACTGGTAACAGAACCAGGTTGGGGTGCAGGCTTCGACCCCTGAGTCCTGCAATAGCACTGTCTCTCTGACTCTTTGTGATAAGAGCAAATGAGATCAGTGCTCAGTCTGCACCACCAAGGAGCTGGCATGACTCTCCTCAGTGAAGGTTATTGGAATGAGAGCTCAAGGCCATGGCTGGGCCTCATGGCGGGAGGGATAGAATTAGACAGAAATAAGCCATTTGGAGATCCAAACACGTTGGAGCATTAGAGGGAAGAAAAGGCTTCCTTTTAAAGATGAGGAAAGCTTTGTAAGTATGAGAATGACCTACTTGTTGGCCATAAGACCCAGATTTGGCTCCCAGTACCCACATCCCATCTCAACCAGGGGATCCATTGCCCTCTACTGACCTCTGCAGGCACCAGGTATGTAGGCAGTAAAAAATACATACACGTAGGCAAAACACTCACACACAAAAAAGAAAATAAATAAATCTAAAAGAAAGAAGGAATAAGAATTGAGGAAGATAGGGAGAGGAAGAGAGAGGGAGAGAGGAAAGGAGGAGGGAGAGAGGGAGGAAAGAAGGGAGACTGATTGAGGAAAGAGCTTGCATAAGAGATAGCAGGGGAAGGCCAGAGTAGTCTCGTGAGAAAGCAGCCTTCGTAACACCTTGGACCAGTGCCCAGAACAAAGGCTAGGCTTCTTATAACTTTGGAGGGTGGTGGAGACTTGCATTCTGTAAGTGAGGGCACAGCAAACCATGGAACTGGACCATTCCATGGGTAGAAAGAGGGTTTTTTGGGGGTCAAATTGGCAAAGCTATCTCTGGTGGTGGCTGGGTGAGGTGGGAGGTGTGGAGGATGGGATGTAGGGGTTTGGAGATAGTATCGGTGAAGAAGGGAAAAATGGTCAAAAAGCAGGTGGATTTTCTATGAATCCTCAGGTGGGGGTCTTTAAGCTGTTCTGGGCTGTTTGGATTGACTTGGGACTAGATACCCTTGCCCAAGGTAGTTGACCTTTGGGGCAGGATTGAGGAAGGTTTCTGGTGGCCTAAAGCAGATTCCTGGGTAAACAAAAAAACTGTCTTAAGGCCCCTGTTTCCCCAATAATCCTTATGTTCACCCAGGCAGAGCCCTGTTTAGGACATTGTCACATTTGAGGAGGCTGCTTTGGACCTAATGTCTACAAACATGATTTAGCTCAGCAGAGCATGTGTAAAAGGGAACATGATCATAAATAAGAAGCTGCTGTTAGGCTCCACCACAGAAAGCCTGTGAACTCTGTCCCAGAGAACGAGCTGTAGAGAGGTGTGACTTCATCTCCATAGGTTTTGGAATCTTGCCTAAAGGTACAGGCCAGTGTTTCCCACACTTTCACATGATGAAATGAGAGGTATTTCTCTGAGGCCTCGTATAAAAACATGAATCACCTTCATGAGGCAAACCCTTCAAGATCTTTTGGTCTCTCTCAGAGCCCCACCTTCTAAGAACATCGTCTTAGTAATGAGAATGCGACATATGAGCTTGGCATACAGAAATATTCAGACCCGGACCAGCTCACACTTAATTAGCATTAGCCTGCT